CGGCAGTGCACCAAAGCGCTACGATTTGGCTTGATGTACTGAACTCCCACGCTCAAAGTCGGTGCGTTGCCATTGATCTCCAGAGCATAGAGTTTTTTTTGTTTTTTTTTTAGTTTTCTTCACCTGTCATCAAGGGGATATTTACTGTGAAATGACAAAAACATCTGTTGCATGCCACCTTTCAGAGACTAAGTCCACAACACCCTTTCACAGCTAGAATTCTTAAGGTCACATTTTCTGTGAATTGGTATGAAGTATTAATAAAGGGGGTACATGAGGGTTTAATTGTTGCTGACTGACTATTGTGTTGATATTGTCATCATTAGATGTAGAAAGCAAAAAGTACAATGTAAATGTTTGGTGGTATAAAAAAGTTGAACCCCAGTGAAGATGATATATCATTATAACAGACCCATATGCAAATTCCAGATGGCTCTGCCAGTATATCCCCAATCTCCCAATCCCCTGCCTGCCCTATGAAGTCCATGCTGTAACATTTAGGAAAAGTCAAATTTTCACAATTTAGCTATTGACTCTTACACATGTATCTTACCAATCTGCAGCCTGAAAAATGACCTTTGTATCACTTAATCATGCTTATGGCTGATTCTAGGTCCTACACTCTCTAAGGAGGAGCTGCGTATGCTCACAGTGGGCGAGATTGTGCAGGAGCTCATCAAGGCACAGAAAGAAGGACGTGACGTGAATCTGAATAAGCTAAAGACACGAATATCCTCAAAATATGGACTCTCCTCATCGCCCAGGCTGGTGGACATTATTGCAGCAGTGCCACAAGAACACAAGAAAGTCCTCCTTCCAAAGCTGCGAGCAAAGCCTGTCCGAACAGCTTCAGGGGTAAGTGTCCTGTGGCAGATGAAACTTTACTCATTATTTTAAGCATTTGATGTGTGTGCTGTGAAGGAATAATGTTAGAATGTAGTTCCATATTAGAAATAAACTTCTTATTTTCAATTATATAGTTATTCTCACTGTTCCTTTCTTGTTAAAATTTTAAGAGATCACTTCATTTTTTAGATTCAATAAACTTAGTATTTGATATACAGACTACTGTGCCTTTAAACTGTGATCAGTTTTATATGATAATGATAATGTTTAATATGCCTCCTGAAAAAAAGTATTTATTAACTCTAATTCTTTGGTTTTCCTATTAGATTGCAGTGGTTGCTGTCATGTGCAAACCCCATCGCTGTCCACACATTAACATGACTGGAAATATATGTGTATATTGCCCTGGTGGTCCAGACTCTGACTTTGAGTACTCAACACAGAGCTACACAGGCTATGAACCCACATCAATGCGAGCTATTAGGGCTAGATATAACCCATACCTTCAAACTAGACATCGTGTAGAGCAGGTAAAAAGTTAATAATTTGTTTATTTATTTATTTATTTATTTATTTTTTTTAAGGAACAATTTACTACATTATTTTATTAATCTGATGTCCCCTTTCTCTTTCTCTCAATCTCTTTTTATTTATAGAAGATGAAGGTTTTGGATGTTGAAGAATGTGTGAATAAAACATACAATACTGTCATGGCTTTCAGCATACAAGGAACAGAATAAAATGAGCTCCTTTATGTCACTGATTTTAAAAGATTTATATTTTACACGCTTCACAAATCCAATCCATTAAATACTTTCTCTGTAGCAGGTGTGCCAAATAAACTGATAATTTACAAGTTCAGTATGCTTTATATCTTTGAATATTTTTAAAATATTATTTAGTCTACTAAAGTCAGTAAGGTTTTGGTATGTGGAGTTATGATATATTACAGTCTACAAAAACTACAATAACTGCAGGAAGAGAACTCAGTTTAAGACCTTTTAAAGTTATTACTGTTATCACTAAGCTAAATCAATCACACTTTTCAGTTGAGGCAGCTTGGCCATAATGTGGATAAGGTTGAGTTCATTGTGATGGGCGGCACATTCATGGCCCTCCCAGAAGACTACAGAGATTATTTTATTCGGAATCTCCACGATGCTCTCTCGGGACACTCATCTACCAGTGTCGATGAAGCCGTAATGTACTCAGAAAGGAGCAACACAAAGTGTATTGGTAGGTTGATTGAATGGGTTTATGTAGACCTAATCAGGTTCAGAGATTTTAGTTATATATATTTCTTTGTCTTCATGATAGTCGAAAGGCATTGAGTGATTTTTATTTAAATTTGTTTAGACTTCAACTGCAGTTTAACCTTTTGACAGAAAAAAGATCATTGGTTGGTCTTTATGTGGAAAGTATTAGCCCATTGGATCTGGTTCCGTCAAGGCAATCACATGGCCCAAAGTATGGGGATTAGGCAGCTGCTCTGACGGAGGGTACAGCTATATTTATTTATTTATTTATTTATTTATTTATTTATTTATTTATTTATTTATTTATTTATTTATTTATTTATTTATTTATTTATTTATTTATTTATTTATTTATTTATTTATTTATTTATTTATTTATTTATTTATTTATTTATTTATTTATTTATTTATTTATTTATTTATTTATTTATTTATTTATTTATTTATTTATTTATTTATTTATTTATTTATTTATTTATTTATTTATTTATTTATTTATTTATTTATTTATTTATTTATTTATTTATTTATTTATTTATTTATTTATTTATTTATTTATTTATTTATTTATTTATTTATTTATTTATTTATTTATTTATTTATTTATTTATTTATTTATTTATTTATTTATTTATTTATTTATTTATTTATTTATTTATTTATTTATTTATTTATTTATTTATTTATTTATTTATTTATTTATTTATTTATTTATTTATTTATTTATTTATTTATTTATTTATTTATTTATTTATTTATTTATTTATTTATTTATTTATTTATTTATTTATTTATTTATTTATTTATTTATTTATTTATTTATTTATTTATTTATTTATTTATTTATTTATTTATTTATTTATTTATTTATTTATTTATTTATTTATTTATTTATTTATTTATTTATTTATTTATTTATTTATTTATTTATTTATTTATTTATTTATTTATTTATTTATTTATTTATTTATTTATTTATTTATTTATTTATTTATTTATTTATTTATTTATTTATTTATTTATTTATTTATTTATTTATTTATTTATTTATTTTTTTTAAGGAACAATTTACTACATTATTTTATTAATCTGATGTCCCCTTTCTCTTTCTCTCAATCTCTTTTTATTTATAGAAGATGAAGGTTTTGGATGTTGAAGAATGTGTGAATAAAACATACAATACTGTCATGGCTTTCAGCATACAAGGAACAGAATAAAATGAGCTCCTTTATGTCACTGATTTTAAAAGATTTATAATTTACACGCTTCACAAATCCAATCCATTAAATACTTTCTCTGTAGCAGGTGTGCCAAATAAACTGATAATTTACAAGTTCAGTATGCTTTATATCTTTGAATATTTTTAAAATATTATTTAGTCTACTAAAGTCAGTAAGGTTTTGGTATGTGGAGTTATGATATATTACAGTCTACAAAAACTACAATAACTGCAGGAAGAGAACTCAGTTTAAGACCTTTTAAAGTTATTACTGTTATCACTAAGCTAAATCAATCACACTTTTCAGTTGAGGCAGCTTGGCCATAATGTGGATAAGGTTGAGTTCATTGTGATGGGCGGCACATTCATGGCCCTCCCAGAAGACTACAGAGATTATTTTATTCGGAATCTCCACGATGCTCTCTCGGGACACTCATCTACCAGTGTCGATGAAGCCGTAATGTACTCAGAAAGGAGCAACACAAAGTGTATTGGTAGGTTGATTGAGTGGGTTTATGTAGACCTAATCAGGTTCAGAGATTTTAGTTATATATATTTCTTTGTCTTCATGAAAGTCGAAAGGCATTGAGTGATTTTTATTTAAATTTGTTTAGACTTCAACTGCAGTCTAACCTTTTGACAGAAAAAAGATCATTGGTTGGTCTTTATGTGGAAAGTATTAGCCCATTGGATCTGGTTCCGTGAAGGCAATCACATGGCCCAAAGTATGGGGATTAGGCAGCTGCTCTGACCGGGGGTAGGTAGTGCGCACATGAACACTCGTGCGCGGTGATAAGACTCTGTGTCTCCCCTTTGTGATGTTATTTTCTCTTTTCATGCACAAGCATTTATAGCTTTTATGCCATTTTCCAGTGTCATATTTATCCAGATGGTAATAGAATGTTTTCCTTGCACAGACTCTATATCATTTATCTAGGTAGTCCATAACTCCGTGGAAGCATAATAACATTAATTGATAGTTGGTTATTTGTCCATTTTTTTCTGTAATACATCTGCACTTCTGGTCATGGTGGCCAGAAATAGGATGTTAAGCATGGAAATGGTGCCGTCCCTGGAGCCAGCACTTTTCCAGTCATGGACACTACGTTCCATACTCGTTTTTTAATGGAAATAATGATAAAGCCCCTTCCTAAACACCAAATGAGTCTAATAACCTTCCAAGAAGTTTGTGCACTCATGGCGAGTCTCTCCTGTCTCCCCGGCCCACAGCCAGATTTTCCCACGACGGCATGTTCAAGTCACCCAGCCTTTAAGCCAAAATTTTTCATGATGTGATAGGAGTTAAGGAATATACACAGTTTGATAGCTTCAAAGTGCTGATATAGGAGGCTTAAAAAAATAAAAATAAAGATAAAATCATTGTCTAGAGTAAGCTTATATTTTACATTGATGGAAAGAAGAGAGAGTATAAAGTATGATTTTACATAATATACCAGTATTTACTTCTAACCCTTGAGATGAAATTTTTTGTGCCATTTCATAATACTGACAAGTCAGGTTTGGTTTAGAAAAGGCTTTAACCTCTTGCTGACGGGCATGGCATGTACGTACATGCCATGCCCACTGTGAGTTGACTTATTTATACACATTGATTGTTTATACACATAGATGGCTACACTTGCACTAAGTCACCAGTGTGCCAATTATGAGTACTGCCTGTCTCGCCCGTTCACCTTTTCATCGATTTACAAAAATAGTTAACATCTTATTTTGCTGTTAAAAATAACGCCATCTATATTCATAGTACTAGTAAGAATACGTTTTTCCTACCAATTCAAGGAAAAGTGAAATCAGTACTAGCAGAGCCATCTATGTACAGAGACATTTCACAAAAATATAAAAAATGAATGCAGTATTTTCCCCATTTTTTAATTTATTTTCCCCAGCGGCAATGGGTTAAGAAGGGTAGTAGAAAATATGGCAAGATATTGTTTACTTTAACTACATAATAGCATCATACTCTGCCAGGACATTTTCTTTCATAGACTTAGTTTGGACTCGTCATGCCCTTTGGCATCAATATGTAATACATACAATTTTTTTGTCTGAATTTTGTAATATTGGCATGGACTTAAGTCTTCTCTTCCCAGGCATTACCATTGGACTCGTCATACCCTTCAGCATCCATATGTAATACATGTAATTTTTTTTGCATGAATTTGGGCATGGACCTAAAAAAATCTTCCCTTTCCAGGCATTACCATTGAGACCCGTCCTGACTACTGCCTGAAGCGACATCTCTCAGACATGCTCAAGTATGGCTGCACCAGATTGGAAATAGGAGTCCAGTCAGTCTATGAAGATGTTGCAAGAGATACAAACAGGTACAGATCCTATAATTGTAGGGAAATTTGTGTTGTTATTTTCTTGGCACGATTGGTACGGAATTGTTTACATATTCAGATATGGTCTACATGTATGTAATAAGATAGTAGTTTGATGATATGTATTTTTTTCTGCTCTGGTGCTAGGAAAGTTGTCTATACGTATATTCAGATAAATTTTCCATATTCCAACATTTTTAGTTTGATAATTTACAGATCTTTATTATTGATAAATACATCTTCCAAATTAGATGCCTGTTCTTTTCAAATAAGTAGCCACTTTATTCGCCTCCTACAGAAATTCTGTCTTGTCTTATATGTGAATAGTATTTTAGGCCAGAGGGATACACTTTAATATTTTCCAGGGGTCACACTGTGAGAGCTGTTAGTGAGAGTTTCCAATATTCCAAGGATGCTGGATTTAAGGTTGTGTCACATATGATGCCAGACTTGCCCAACGTGGACTATGAGAGAGATGTAGAACAATTTATTGTGAGTATTAACAGCTAATTTTATAATGTAATTTGACAATATATATAGCTGAATCATATTTACATACAAATATTTATATCTATATCTATGTCTCAGCATATTTGTATACAGTATTTTTATCTTTATCTATGTCTATCAATCTATCCATCTATGAGTAGATATATGCATATATACTTATAACTTACTAAACTGCCATCGTGCATTTAAGTTTCCTTCCAGAAGCTATTGCATTTTGTCATCCTAGACGTATGAACACAAAGTAGCGCAGACAAGACAAACACTTGCAAATATACTGACATCCTCACTTCACTTACAGGAATTCTTTGAGAACCCAGCTTTCCGTGCAGATGGTCTGAAGATCTACCCTACACTAGTGATCCGAGGAACAGGCTTGTACGAGTTGTGGAAGACAGGAAGGTACAAGAGCTACCCCCCCAACACCCTTGTGGATCTGGTAGCCACAATCCTCTCTCTGGTTCCCCCGTGGGTCAGGATCTACAGAGTTCAGCGAGATATTCCAATGCCTCTTGTCAGGTTGGTGTATGGGGAGATCAGTTGAGTGACTGGCTGAATTATCTTTTCTTCATTGTCGTCTTCTGTCCCCTGCCCCCTCCCCCCCTCCTCACTATTCGTTTTCTTAACTCACTGCCTCTGGGTAGCATGTGAGGTGTTTTATGCCAAGAATGGTGCTCTTACTTGGGATATATATATCATACACCTCACAAGTGTATCCCCCCCCCTCACAAAATAATAATATAAAATATATTGCTATATTATGAGGAGGAACTTATCACATCTGGACTGGTGTGCTTCAACCATTGCAGATGAAAAAATCATCTTGGACATACTCTTTGTCTTGTATGATAGACAACCTGTATGATGGCTGTGTCATAAAAAGAAACATTTATATGATAGTAGTAGTGGAAGCTCAAGAGTTGATTTTATTATTGCAAATTTCCTCACAGTTTTTCATAACAAAATGCAGAACTGTTGCCATTATGAGGTGCTCAAAATCAGCCTTACTTAGTATCGTGATTCATTAGAGGCCATACACCCATAGAACAGTCCAAGATGTAGTAAGGCATAGATGTTTCCAGGTAGTATATGCATGTACATCAAACATTAATCCAATGCTGATGGGCATGGCATATACATACATGCCATGCCCACTGTGAGTGAATTATGAGTACTTCCTGTCTCACCCGTTTACCCTTTTCCTTTATGAAAATATTTTACGTTATCTTATTTTGCTGTTACTAATGTTTATAACATTATAGTAATTATAATGTTTATAATATAAATAACACCATCAATATTCATAGCACTAGTAAGAAATACATTTTTTCCCACCAATTCAAGGAAAGGTGAAATCAGGTACAGTCACAAGGTTTACTAATTTACTCTTTGTGGCTAAGCACTAGCAGATCCATCTATGTGCAAAGACACTTGACAAAAATATAAAAAATGAGCTCAGCATTCTCCCCATTTTTTATTAATTTTCCTCGGCAGCATTGGGTTAATTTAGTATAGGAGGGGTTAATGTAAAGAATGTGTTCAGAATACAATTCTATTAATTTCAGATTAGTCTGAGTATTTAAACAGGTTGAAGTATGGTACTTATGAGGGAAAACAATCTTTTTAGCCATGAATATCAAACAAGACCCTTTGATAATGTGGCATAAACCATTCACATAATATAGGCTATATATTTTGGTACACACAAGTACCTATTGCTCAATATTTTTCTTCTCATTCACTGAAATAGTTCTGGAGTGGAACATGGAAATCTCCGTGAGTTGGCATTAGCCAGAATGAAGGATCTTGGTACTCAGTGTAGGGATGTTCGAACCCGTGAAGTCGGCATTCAAGAAATTCATCATAAAGTTAGGCCGTATGAGGTATGTACAGCAGATCTGTTTTTTTTTGTCAAATATTTAACCATTTATTCTTAACTTTAATTTGTATCTCATTACTCAGTTTTATTTATGTATTCTTTGTATTAATTCATATAGTTTTTATCTAATATTTTTTCTCTTCAATGCAACAGGTTGAGTTAATTCGCCGTGACTACACCGCCAATGGTGGGTGGGAAACATTCCTCTCATACGAAGACCCAGATCAGGATATTCTAGTTGGTCTTCTTCGTCTCAGAAAATGTTCAGACCAGACCTTCCGGTGAGTACCTTTGTTGAATTGACATACTTCTAGTTGAAACAATACAATGTAGAAGGTGTTGTTTCTACTAACTTAGTAGATTTGCAAGATATGTATATAGTAAAAAATATTACTTATGATTGAAACCGTAATATTTGTAATGTGAATACTTAGTGTTATTTGACTTTGTTGTGATGCAGAAAATTGTTTTCATTATGCACATTATTCTTCATCGAACTTCTTAAAAATATTTACAAATATACAAGCATAAGTGTAAGAGAATAACATGTCATCACTCCATAGTCCTGAGCTGGTAGGAGGAGTGTCTATCGTCCGCGAGTTGCACGTGTATGGTTCGGTGGTGCCTGTGAGTGCAAGGGACCCAACAAAGTTCCAGCACCAAGGCTTTGGCATGTTGCTAATGGAAGAAGCGGAGAGAATTGCCAAGGAAGAACATGGATCCAATAAGATTTCTGTCATTTCAGGTCAGTCGTTTTCTCAGTAAAGTCGATTGTCTTTGTAAGGATGGCGTTTCGTAATTATTTTAGAGATAATATGTGTGTGTTATTTTTTTAAATGAAAATGTAGTAGAAACTGACATTGGAACTACTCTGAAACACTGGTTATCCTTTTTCAGGTGTGGGAACCAGGAATTACTACAGGAAGCTGGGATATGAGCTAGATGGACCGTACATGTCCAAGTCACTTGTATGAACACTCAGTTGTTTATTATAGAGCTTGTGTTAAGAGCATCAGGGAACTGTGCTATTAAGTATAACCCTTCTAGAGATTGAAGTTCAGCACAACTTTTCCTTATTTAAAGAAGACTACAGTTTTCCCTCATACCTTGGACTTTTGTTATGCACATTTATTTAGCTTAAATGATGATTTAATGTTGATGATCAGAATGATATTTAATTTTAAGCTGAAATAAGAAAGAAAATCAAGAAATTTTACAATAAAGAAGATATATATATCCACTTGTTTGAATTGGATTAATACCACCTTTTAGCCTTTTAATTTTCTAAAATACGTCTCTTTTTCCATAAACTGATTTTATCTTTTATGTGAAAAGCATTTACTTTACAAATTATTGGAAAGTATATGTTCTCAATGAAGGTACAATAGATTTCTATTTTTATACACCAAAGTTAAGTTAAATTCCTCAGTGTAAATCAGGCAGGTATAAGAATTTATAATTTATAGATGCACTGAAACTACCAAAACTTCAGAAATATTGGTACATGATTTGTTTATATCTTAAGATCACTGCAAATGGCAATTAGTATTTAAATATCATCGGATGGTTAAAAACAGTTGTTCAACATATACATATATTTTATTGCTTACACCTAAAGAAATGATATAACAAACTGATGAGTTGAGATTACATGAGAAGGTACAGTGGACTGCAGTTGCTTTGTACAGCACTAAATTAATTAATTAAAGTACATGGGATTTACGCAAATCACAGCACAGCTGCAGTCTTATGTAAACAAAAAAAGGAGTCAACATTCAAATAAGTATCTTTGCATCAAACAAGAAAGAATCAACAATCAGAATTCAGAATTTACTGCAGAGTCTTATTAACCAATATTTTCAATTGGTGTTTCAGTTCTTGTATTTCCTCCTTCTGTTCCATTTGCAAGCTCAGTAACATAGTGATCTGTTTACTTTGTTCTTCCAACTGGAACTCGATAGGAGTGGGTGCTTCAGGTGCTTCCTCCTTTGTGTCGAGCATGAGGAGCTTCCTCGTCAAAAAATTATGGTGCTTGTCCTTTATATCGTCTACGAAGAACTGGGTCATCCTCATTTTCTTGAAGAAGGGGAAGCAGATATCCAAACGGAGGAAGAGAGCAACTCGGTTTGCGGCAAGATGAAATGAAGCCTTTTCCCTGAAGTCATCTAGTTTATTGGAAGGTTGCGTAATGATCAAGTTGACAATGAAACCGCCAATGACAGTGACGAACACCACAAAGAGAATGTTAACCATAACAGGGTAATGGAGAGTTTTCTCCTCATCCAGGAAGGTGTCATCATATGCCAAGTCACCAAGCATCCATACAATAGTCTTCACCATAGCCTGTGGCACAGTGAAGAATGCATCCTGATCCTGAAGGAGGAGATGAAAGATGAAGGCAAAGACAAATACAAGCATAATGATGTAGAAGAGAACCTTCAAGAAGCTCTTCATGAAACTGTTTGTGATGGGCATAAAGACAGACAACATTGGCAGTTCATTGAGTGTGTTTATGAGATGAAGCCAGGCTAGGAGGAGGGCTGCTACACCAAATTGCCACTGCAGAATCTGCAAAAAGAGGAAATTTTTTGAGAAATTGCATATATTTCATGGTGAATATACCATACAATACTTGTTTGAAAGGTTAGTAAGAATACAGTAAATATGTAATATATTCCATTTCTGATAATCAACAATCCCAATTAGCAATGATATGAGTAATGTGAACTGTTTAGTAAAAAATACACATTACACAAATGAATAAAATGACAAATACAAATTCCTATCTTCAACTTCTACTACAAATCACCTGACTTCAATCACTAAAACTTTCAACACAATATTCAAGATGAATAAAAAAATTGTATGTATTATTACTTACGTTTAACACAAGGTAATTGTACTGACAGAGTGTTTGGGGAATCAGGGTGACCAGAGTGCAAGCTGAACGAAGGACTCGCACCAGATTTCCTGTGAGGAAGAAGTATTCCTTCTTCAGCTGTGGTAGAAGAAAAAACAAAAAAAAAATCAATGGGATTTTTAAATTTTGGGGAACCCTAAAAATACACACAATTACTTCACATAATATACATAATAGTTATCATACAGACACTTATAGATGTAATATCACAGATGACAGTATCGGCCTACCCTGAATAAGAAATTGGATTCCAAAATCAACATGAAACACATGGCAAGAATTAATGCAATCCATAATGCAGATTTGGTGTGAAGGGATGCATTGCACTCATCAAATTGAGCTTTTGTGTCATTACTCAAAAAGTCATATTCTTCTGAGGCGTTAATGAATGCATCTTTGGTGAAGTTGCAGCGTAATTCAATTTGATTCCAGTTGCTGAAAAATATAAATCATGAATTGAATAACAAGACTTGAGCATATGAGTATATCTGAAATATGTACATGTGCACACACTCGACAACAAACACATCAACACAAACAAACAAATACATTAACATATACAATCAAACACACACAACCTCCTTCCTTACTCGACACAAGCCATAAACCCGATCAGACTGCCGACAAAGAACAGCTCATGCGTCAGAAGAAGTAGGAAGATCTTGTAAGCATAAGACCTCCACTGTTGCAACATCCACGCCTTGGAGAGAGGATGCAACAGGTTCTGGTAGCGGTGGTGGGAGACCATGAGTGCCAGAGGATGTGAGTTCTTCCATGCCAGACCGTCAGTGAATTGCCGTGCCTTCGGTAGAACGGATCCTGTGGCCTGGTCGAAGGGGCTGATTGCACGTTTTTCCGTATCTGCATGTGCAATGGGATTTTAATTACTTCATTTCAGAGGCGAATTTCACTGGATCTTTTTTATTATTATTATTCTGATGCAAACTTCACATAATAATAAAAATCAAAGTTTACAGCAAAATTATGTAATTTCAGAGGCGAATTATAATAAAATCAAAGTTTACAGCAAAATTATGTAATTTCAGAGGCGAATTATATTTCAATCCTGATGCTGCCTTTACATACGAACAACAAAACATTTTTTCACATCTGAACTCACAGAAAAAATATATCAATATATAACGAATTCAAAATTATCTATTAGTTTAAACATGTCCCTCTTACCTGCTGGAATATAATAGTTATCATTATACAGCCTGAAATCATATCGTGTCTCCAAGTTTGAAACGCGCTCAACACACTTTTCTTGAACTTTCAGGGCTAACTCCGGGTAAAACATCACCAGTATCCGGAAATTCTCACAGTGGTGGCCATTTTTCCCAATAAACCCTGATTCCCACCACTCACTGTCTATGATGGCTTCCACAATACTTCTGCAGAAGGAATGATGCCAATAAATGAGAAAAGCGAAAATGGCTTTAATTTCTCTGTTGAAAAAGTAATTCGTACTTAGACATTGAAGAACCAATTATGTATATTAAGTATAATATAAATGAAGTAGAACTAGTTTTTCCTAAATTGAAAAGTTTAACATAAATTTATACCAGCTTATGGAAAGAAAGCAAACATTATACTTACAGTCTGTTCGTGAGTAATGCTTCATGCATATACTTATGCAGAGTCAGCATTCGACTGTCTTGATTATCCTTGAACACTAATTTCTTCAGTAGAAGTTTGAAAATTTCGTCATGCCCACTTTCGAAGGCTCTGTCGATAGGTAACTTCTGGTCTCGATCTGTATCCCAGTTAAGTGCCTTTGCGTTGGCTGTCAGGATTTTGCAACATTCTAGCGCGTCTTCTGACGACACAGCCGCAAGATGCAATGCATTCGACCCGGTGTCATCCTTCGCCTTGTTCGGGACTCCTTTCCGACACAGGAACTTGACCACGTTGGCATTTCCCTTCCCGGACGCCAAGTGCAGAGCCGTCCGTCCGTGTACGTCGACCGCCGTCTGTCGCGCCCCTCTCCGTAGCAGCATCTGGCAAACATCTACCGATCCGTGCAATGCTGCTAAATGCAAGGGCGTTGCTTTCATTTCATTCTCTTTACTAACTTGCACTCCCGGCATTGCGAATAGTTTCTCACATATGATCGTATACCCTTTGTCCGCAGCGAGGTGAAGGGGGGTATTCCCGCCCACGCACTCCTCCGTCGCCGAGGAGCCCTTCTCCAGCAGCAAGAGGGCACATTCGACTCCCTCCCGCTTGATGGCTAAGTGGAGTGCAGTGCAGTTGTCCTTGTCTTTTCGGTCCAGGATTGACAGTACACTCGGAATTTCTAACAACAGTCCCAAGCATTCCTCGGCATTCTTCTCAGCTGCGTAGTGAAGGACGCCTTTTCCTTGCTTATCGAAGACACTCAGATTCGCTTCCTTGGCAAGTAGGGCTTTCAGGCAGCCCGGTCTCTTCTTCGACGCGGCATCAAGGACTGGGGCGCTGCCTTTCTTGTTCTGCGTGTTCGGGTTCGCTCCCATTGCAAGCAGTTCAGATACTGTGATTTCGTAGCCTCCATATGCTGCATAATGCAAGGCGGTTGTGCCAGACTTATCCTTCGCATTGATATTGTTTAATGTTAGATTCTCACAACATCTATGGTGCCCATTTTTTGCAGCTAGCATAAGAGCTGTTTTGCCATCTTTCAAACAAGTTGAAAGCTGCTTGACTTTGTTATCTTTAATATCTGAAGACATCAATACTTCACAACATTTGGGAAACCCTTTCTGTGCCGCGTAATGAAGAGCCAAGTAGAAATTAGAATCCTGGATTTTCCAATCTATAGCCCCCTTTTCCAGAAGGAGCTGCAACACCCGTGGTTGATTCTCCTGAGCTGCGAGATGCAAGGCCGTCATGCCTCGCTTGTTTTTGAGATTAACACGAAGCTGCGATTGATCTAGAATCATGTTACAAATGTCATATCTGCCCTCCTTGGCAGCTACGTGCAGTATGGTATTACGTTCTTTGTTGCACAGATTGACATCGATATTCGGATGCTCCAGCAGTAACTGGCAGCAGTCGATGTGGTCCTTCCGCACAGCAAAATGCAGAGGCGTTTGTTCAGTGTTGTCTTGAGCATTGACGTATGCTCCCTCATCCAACAACAACTTGAGTATTCCAGTGAACCCGTTCGAAGCCGCTATGTGTAATGCGGTTGTGTCCGTCCCTTCGTCTTTAATGTTAACGTCCGCCCCCTCCTCCAGGAAGGTCTTCACCTCGGCATACTTCTCATCACCAACCAGCTGAAGGAGTTTTTCCGTGTATTTGTAGCCCTGGGTCGAGTCATTGAGCCTGCGAGAATGGAGAGAATGATGATAATAGTGATGAAGACAGAACACGTATAATGCCCTCTTTATCGGAAAAAAATAGATATATAAATATGTTCCAGGAATATAAATATATAAACAAGCCTACATCCACTATGCATTACACACACACACAACACATCAACCTATACACAATACGGACGTACGGATCAATACATACACAAATACATACATACAAACACACACACACACAACACGCATTTATTATAAATTATCATCATATTTATGATTGTAATTACAAACACACACACACGTAGATTTAGTTTTCACCAGCAACTCACTGTGCGTATCTCTCCCTGACGGAATCTGCTCTCCTGTACAGCGGCCTCCCATTCCCGCTCTGCCTTTGGCTGTCGTCTTGGAATCGCACGTTATCTAAACACATTTAGAAAAATATAAGTATAGTATGTAATGAATGGGCAGAGACCATACATATAATTATGAATGTGTGTAAATATATGATACTATGCACACAAATAGTGCGAGTGTGTATATGTATATATATATATATGGTAGAAAAATCCACAATGTAAAAACTACTAGATTTATTGAAAATGAAAGTGAGACGACAGTTTCGGAATCCACCTGGATTCCATCCTCAGGTCTGAAGAGGAAAAGGAGAGGAAGGGGTATAAGAGGGAGAGAGGACAGGCAACGCGGAGACACGGGGCAGGTGAGGACAGACGA